TTATTTTAATTAACTAACTATGGGGGGCACAGGGGAGCATTCTGGTAGTTCAATCATTCTTCCTGCTCTCAAGTCTGTATGAGGCATGGACAGACAGCTATCCCGAGAGTCTGCAGAAGCCTGAAATTGCATATGTGATCTGCTGAAGGCGGGCAGGGCTGCTGTTATAAACCACGGGACCCTGTACAGCCAATGTGCAGGGCCCCCAAATAAACACAGGTTACTATGCTTCAATTATAAATGAACACAGTGAGTGATTGCTATGGATCACCATTGTGTTCATTCAGGAGAGGAAGGCGCTGGTAAATGTGACATATTTACGGGACCCTTCCTCCCATTCTCCATGCTATGGATCCTATTGTGTGTTTGCAGCTGCCAGTGGGAAGGAGAGGAGGGAAACACTGCGGGGGTGGGGGCACACAGGGGGCCTAGGCAGCATGGGGAAATGTATGGTGCATTGGGAGGGTGCTACAGAGCAAGCCATACAGGGGATCAGTTTCAGTAATTGCTCCCTCCCGCTGTGATCACCCTCCCTGTCCACATCCAAAACACCCTGATGCCTGGGTCCCCCTGCTAGTCTGGGCCCCATACAGGAGGACCAGTGGTACCCCCTTATCCATAGCCCTGATGGCAGGTGCAATGTTCTGCAGGCTGCTTATAAAAAAATAATAAATGCACATTTTACCTGTAAAAAAATTAAGTTTGCATTTATTATTTTTTTCCTAAAGGTGAACTTATCCTTTAAATCAAACCTTGCAGTCCAAAGCAACTAAAGTCTATATGGTAGCCTCCATCCCAAACCTCTAGACCTAAAAAAAAAAAAAAAAAAAAAAAAAAAAAAAAATGGAAAAAAAAAAAATACCTACCTCACAGCCTTTTTGGGATCCTGGGAAAGCTGAGGGTCCCAAATATTATCAAGCACTGGGTCTAAAGTAGCAATGTTTTGCTTTTTGGGGGTCATTGATTTTTAGGCACAGTGATTTTATGATGAGTAGGAAGGGGGGCTACCCTATAGATTTCAGATGCTGTGGACTACATGTTCCACTTCAGAACTTTAAACAACTATGGGGCTCTATTAAGTGATACTCTTATACAGGGGTGGATTGACCATTTGGAAACTCGAGCACTGCCCGAGGGCCCGGGGTCAGTACCGGCCCCCTGAGATGCCCCTGGTACCTTTTTCATAGGCTTTTTTGAGTTTGGGCAAGGACAAAGGGGCCGCATAATAATTCCCTATTGCGGGGGGGCCCCATGAGTTGTCAGTCCGCCCCTGCTCTTATGCACACTTAGCAGCTGAAAAACAGCATGAGGGTCCCGAGACCCCCACACCCTTCCTCCAGACGGAGAAAACAGCAATTACAGCCTCCATAATTCTCCTAGCTCAGAGAAATTTATTGAGATTCTAAGATGTGGTTTTAGAACATTTTTCATGTCCTCCTCGTCTACATTAGAAGGAAGCCTCACAAATCACTGCACTTTCTTGTGGATTGCACCACTAATCAAAATAACTCAATAATACACATTAAGTCCTAATGCAGCTACTTATTTAATGCCAGTTCTAGGAAGAAACACAGATTCAGCAGATCAGGTAGGAAAAAAATGATCTACGGTATACAAAAAATACAATAAACAGGAACAACCTGGAGAGTAATCTCTCTCTCATATACACTCACCGGCCACTTTATTAGGTAGACCTTGCTAGTGCCAAAAAAATCTCCCCCACACCATGACACCACCACCACCAGCCTGAACCATTGATACAAGGCAGGATGGATCCATGCTTTCATGTTGTTTATGCCAAATTTTGACCCTACCATCTGAATGTTGCAGCAACCAGTCTGCCCATTCTCCTCTGACCTCTGACATCAACAAGGCATTTTCATCCACACAACTGCCGTTCACTGGATAATTTCTCTTTTTCGGACCATTCTCTGTAAACCCTAGAGATGGTTGTGCATGAAAATCCCAGTAGATCAGAGTTTTTTGAAATATTCAGACCAGCCTGTCTGGCACCAACAACCATGCCACGTTCAAAGTCACTTAAATCCCCTTTCTTCCCCAATCTGATGCTCGGTTTGAACATCAGCAAGTCGTCTTCACCACGTCTACATGCCTAAATGCATTGAGTTGCTGCCATGTGGTTGACTGATAAGTAATTTGTGTTACCAAGCAGGTGTACCTAATAAAGTGGCCGGTGAGTGTATTTCCAGCTTGTAGAAGATATGCCACATCTAACAAAGTCGATAAAATGTCAAAAAATATTTCTAAGGCAGAATCTGAAGCATAATTTCAGTCTTTATGGAAAAGTAAGGTGTAATTTTAGTAAGCCCATATTTAAGTTATTCTAGTGTTTATCTTTGAGTAGATGTGAACCTTTTAACCAATAATAGCATATTTGCAGTCATCAGAGCTTTCTTAGACATGCCGAGTTAAAATGTCTCCAAAAAAAACCCTCAAGATATCTTTCTTTCCTTTGTTTGATTTGTAGGCATGAGACTGCTACATACCACCTTCCTTCCCCAGCTCCAAGGGCGGGGGTGAAAACTCTACATGAGATTTAATTGCTTACATGCCATAGGGGCAGTTGCTCTATTGACAGCATAATTCCTGCCAGGAGCCCCTTGTCAATCACTGGGTGGGAGGGGGGAGTGTCTTGCCAGTCTTCGATTTCATAGGTGGACTATAGGAATACAAGCATGTTACACACTGGCATTCATGTTGGGATCCACAAATTGGCCACACGTTGAGATCCAGTCTCGTCATTGGTCAAATATGGTCATGTCCATATATGGCCAATGATGTCACTTGGGAGATCCCCTCCCTCTTGTTTATTTTAGCAGCAGGGAACCAAGAAATGTCATTTGGTGGGAGTTAAGCGACTGGTATGGATGTGTCTGCAGGGTTTTTTCTCTTGCTGGATCAGTGGGGATCAGGCATCATGACTGACATGGATCTGCATCACTGGGCAATATGATTGACATTGGAATTACATCATGAGACTTTTTTAAAGGACTTGTCAAAAATAGTGTGTTTACTAGTTTTTGGGAATGAGTAGGGGTATTGGTTCTGGCCAGCTCAGTGGATTGCTTTAAAAAAGTCCTGGATTCTTTCTTAGATACACAGAATATAACTGGATATAACATTTATAGGTAAAGTTGATCCAGGGAATATCCGATTGCCTCTCGGGGGATCAGGAAGGAATTTTATTCCCTGCAGGAGCAAATTGGATCATGCTTTGCTGGTTTATTTTGCCTTCCTCTGGATCAACTGTGGGTATAGGATTATAACTTCTTTTTTTTTTTTTAATGGTTGAACTGGATGGACTTTTGTCTTTTTTTCAGCCAGACTAACTAACTATTGTGTACCCTTTAATCTCCAAATTCCAATAAGCCCCCCCACCCGCAGACTCCCACACCAGGCCTGGAATGTGGGGAATAGGCCTTTGTCCTCATTAACCCTCAATGGCAAGGTACCCCCCCAGCCCATTCAGGTCAAATTTTCTTAGCCTCTATAGTGTCAGGCTATTTTCTCTACTGGTGACTGCTATTTAACTCTTATAGTCAAATGTTCACTTAGGCTACATTCACACTTTGGACACATAAAGTCGCTTGACAAGTAGCAGCCCATTGTCTTTTAGTGACACCCCTTCGGATATGTGTGACTTTAAGTGGTTGTAAAGGCTCAAGGTTTATTACCTTCATGCATTCTATGTATGAAGGTAAAAAACCTTCTTTGTGCAGCATCCTACCCCCAGTGCCCCCAGCCCTCTCAATACTTACCTGAGCCCCATCGCAATCCATCAATGTGCACAACAGCCTCGGCTGTCCCAGGTCTCTGCTTCCTCATTGGCTGAGACAGCAAGCGGGAGCCATCAGCTCCCACTGCTGTCAATCACAGCCAGTCAGCCAATGAGGAGAGAGGGGGCAGGGCCAAGCTGCAGCTCTGTGTGTGAATGGACACATGGAGCAGCGGCTTGGGAACAGCTTGCTCGGGTGCCCCCACAGCAATCTGCTTGCTATGGGGGCACCCGACTGAAAAGAAGGAGCCAGGAGCGCCAGCAGGGGACCCGAGAGAAGAGGAGGATCCAGGGTGCTCTGTACAAAACCACTGCACACAGCAGGTAAATATAACAGGTTTGTTATTTTAAATATATTTTAAAAAAATAGCATTTAGTATTGCTTTAATGTCGCAGTGACTTTCAAAAGGTTCCTCCTCTACTTTGATGTGATTTAGTGCCAGAGAGTGTAAAGTCAGATCAAAGTCACATAAAAGTCGCATCAAAGTCACACTTCAAAATTGCACTTGGATTTGTGTAACTTTGGAGTTGCACATGTGTGAATGGAGCCTTATGAAAAAATGATAAAAGAATGTTCCATGCAAAACCCAACAGACAGAAACGGACATTCCACACATAGTAAAAACATTACAGGTACTACTAGTTACTTTTGCAAAATTTTTACATTTTACTTTTGTTACTTCTAAGGCATTTGCAATGCAATTTTTTTTATACATGTAGCGCCCCTCTAGAAAGCCAGGGGAGCTAGTTGCTAATTGTTACTTAGAAAGGCTGAGCAGCAGCCTGGAAATAGTTAGCTGGGTGACATTTGGGTCAGGGCTGAGAGGCTCTGCAGATCAATTCCTTGATACCTCCCCCTGCTCTAGAACCTTGGAGAAGATTCTAGAAGCAGTGGGTGGTGGTAAGGAGGGTCTGATCTGCATACTTACGGGATCCAGACCAATCCCCAGGCAGGTGGCTTGGCATGGGGTCAGGACAGTCCTTGAAGTGTTACTAAACCCAGGACCCTGTATTTACTATATCTGGTCTCCCACAATACACAGAACATAGAAATGCAATTATTTTAGTAAATATAAACTAAATACCTTTTCTCATCAGCAGTTAAAGCAGTCTTGTGACTTTTGTCAGTGTTCAGTAGGGCACTGGTTAAAGCTTGTAGGAGGAGTTTTCTTTCTGCTCTAGGAGGGTGCAGAACCCCTAACTTCTGTTTGGACAGTGCTGATCACATGTACTCTTCCAAGAAAAAAACCTCTCTAGCAATACACACCAAACTGAGCATGTGCAAAGTGTCTCCACACCATGAGGTAAGAGGGGGGCAATGGAAGAAGGGGATGATCAGAGAAGTCAGGATCAAACAGCTTTTTTACACAATGCAGAGGATTAACCCCTTAGGTTCCACAGTGAGTATATCAAGCATGCTTTACTGCATATACAGACTGATTTTGCTGTTATCGATTTAGTAACACCTTAAGTCAGCAAGGGGAAAAGAGCATTCTGGTGGAAAACCTGACTAGCTCCTTACCTGGGACTGTTTAATTTAAAGTGACAGGCACTAGATCTCCTTGCAAAAGGAAAAAAAAGGAGTATCACCAAACATAGAAGGAGTAGCCTTATATTAAGCTCCAAGACTCACCTAATAATAAAGGTGTGGGTGTAAACCTGGCATATTACAGAAAACAAAAAGTAGTAGTTACATAGCTCATACTACCAAAGTAGGTAATGATCACCCAAGCAATGTAGCTCACGTGTTAAACCACATATTTACACCCATCTCTGCCAATCCCTCCACTGGCTTCCAATTGCCCAGTGGATAAAATTCAAAATGCTAACACTGACGTAAAAAAACTGTTCATAACACTGCCCCTAATTACATCACTGATCTTGTCTCCAAATATCACCCAAACCATACTCTCCTCACAAGACCTCCTACTCTCTAGCTCCCTTGTCTCCTCCTCCCATGCTCGTCTCCAGGACTTCTCCAGGGCTTCCCCCATCCTCTGGAACTCCCTACCCCATCAGACTATCGCCCACTCTGCTCACCTTTAGGCGCACTCTGAAAACCTATCTCTTCAGGGAAGCCTATCCCGCCCTCAGCTAATACTGAAATCCTCCACTCTTCCTACCACTCCATCCCCCACAGTCATTACCTCCTGTACCACTATCCCCTCCCTCCTAGATTGTAAGCTCCAAGGAGCAGGGCCCTCGAACCCCTCTTGTATTGAATTGTATTGTTGCTGTATTGTCTCCCACCATAATGTAAAGCGCTGAGCAAACTGTCGGCGCTATATAAATCCAGTATAATAATAATAATAATATTTATTAATCCCATTACAGGGAAAAGGAGTGATATCTGCTGCCAGTAAAACACACAACCACTGAACATATAATTAAAACAATACAAAAAAACAATCCCCTGGATCCCCTTGCCCAGGTATTCCTCCAGACAACTGGGTATAGAAGAGGATTTATCTGGAGTCTAGGGTGGTACACAAGGAGAGGCTGGAGAGCTCTCCAAGAAGTTCCTATCTTGGGTATGTATATAGTTGCCAGGAATTTGTCCTCATTTTACTGGTCCTGGGGCATTCCATACACCCCGTACCCCATCCAAGTTCAATACTCCTAATAAAACTAAAAAATAACAAGCTCAAGGACAGTTTACTGTCTCTGGAAGGCAAGTCTGTGGAAATGCATGTTGCCTGGCTGTGCAGGACTATGGGGGGACCCAAATCTTCAGCAACTCTGAAAGAGGTAGTGCCAGGGGTGGACTGACCATTTAGGCGCTCAGGCAGTGCCCGAGGGCCCAGGGTCAGTAGGGGGCCCCATGAGATGCCCCTGGTACCTTTTCTAGGCTTTTTTGGGTGTGTCTTGAGTGTGGGTGAGGACACAGGGGCTCCATGATTTCCTATTGCCCGGGGGTCCCATGAGTTGTCAGTCTGCCCCTGGGTAGTGCTACATACACAAGCCCCAAAGTATTTGGTTTTGAATTTTTAACAGATGCATGAGGCCTCATTTAAATTGTATCCATCTAAGATGCTTTAATAAGATGTTAATAAAATGTGTTCAAAAGTTCTGATAAACTTTAATATAAGATCAGCAGCCCTGTCATCTTTCTAATTGCCGTCTGTGTTTCTGCTACGGGGATTCGCCCTTCTTGTTTGTCCTGGTGGGCACTGTCACCAGGACTAAGAGTGATCGGAAAATCTCAAGTTTTGATTTGTCCCCAGAACAGGAATAGAAGGGAAAATCTTCAAAAGGAGGTACTTGCTGCAGTGACAACTGTCTAAAGCTTGCCATACATGGATTGAAAATGTTGATCCATCTATAATCATCCCTGTTTATAAGAAGTTGATCGATAGATCGACTACAGCCTGCAGCCAATCAGCTGCAGTGCTAATGGGTGTATTCTGTCAAAGTGGAAGTCCTGCTGTCAGAATACAATGACACAGCGGGAGGATTCTTCCATCTACATCAAATGAGTGGATGGGAGAATCAGGTCAGTTTTTTTTTCAACCTGCTGGTTGAACAAAAAAAAACTGACTCATGTAGTGCCAGCTCAAAATAGAATTTACCTCACTTTGTACAAATTTCCTCTAACTTTCTGTTGTGTTTATGGAACAGGAAGTACAAAGAAATTTCCCTGAATAAACCAAAAAAAGGAGACAGGGGTTTTAATTTTTTCCTACTTTATGATTAAAAAAATGTTTGGTTTAAAATACACTTCAATGCCCATATATGGCATAAGATAAAGAAACAATTGCTATAGCGCAAAATTGAGTATAAATTTATATTAGGAGAAAAGAGGGGAAAAGGGCCTAAAAAGTATCAGTTACATAGTTAGTCTGGCTGAAAAAAAAAGAAAAAAGTCCATCCAGTTCAACCATTAAAAAAAAAAAAAGTTATAATCCTATACCCACAGTTGATCTAGAGGAAGGCAAAAAAAACCCAGCAAAGCACGATCCAATTTGCTCCTGCAGGGGAAAAAAATTCCTTCCTGATCCCCTGAGAGGCAATAGGATATTCCCTGGATCAACTTTACCTATAAATGTTATATCCAGTTATATTCTGTGTATCTAAGAAAGAATCCAGGACATTTTTAAAGCAATCCACAGAGCTGGCCAGAACCAACTCTTGAGGGAGTCTATTCCACATTCTCACAGCTCTCACTGTGAAGAAACCTTTCTGTGTTTGGAGATTAAATTTCTTTTTTTCTCCAGACGTAAAGAGTGCCCCCTTGTCCTCTGTGATGACCTCAGGGTGAATAACTACACCGAGTTCACTATATGAACCACTGATGTATTTATACATGGAGATCATATCCCCCCTTATGTATTGATACATGGAGATCATATCCCCCTTATGTATTATACATGGGGATCATATCCCCCTTTTATGTATTATACATGGAGATCATATCCCCCTTATGTATTATACATGGTGATCATATTCCCCCTTATGTATTATACATGGGGGATCATATCCCCCTTTTATGTATTATACATGGAGATCATATCCCCCTTATGTATTATACATGGAAATCATATCCCCCCCTTATGTATTATACATGGAGATCATATCCCTCCTTATGTATTATACATGGAGATCATATCCCCCCTTATGTATTATACATGGAGATCATATCCCCCTTATGTATTATACATGGAGATCATATCCCCCCTTATGTATTATACATGGTGATCATATCCCCCCTTATGTATTATCCATGGAGATCATAAACCCCCCTTATGTATTATACATGGAGATCATATCCCCCCTTATATATTATACATGGAGATTCATATCCCCCATTATGTATTATACATGGAGATCATATCCCCCCTTATGTATTGTACATGGAGATCACATCCCCCCTTATGTATTATACATGGAGATCATATCCCCCTTATGTATTATACATGGAGATCATATCCCCCTTATGTATTATCCATGGTGATCATATCCCCCATTGTGTATTATACATGGTGATCATACCCCCCTTATGTATTATACATGGTGATCATATCCCCCTTATGTATTATACATGGTGATCATATCCCCCTTATGTATTATACATGGAGATCATATCCCCCTTATGTATTATACATGGAATCATATCCCCCTTATGTATTATACATGGTGATCATATCCCCCCTTATGTATTATACATGGAGATCATATCCCCCTTATGTATTATACATGGAGATCATATCCCCCTTATGTATTATACATGGAGATCATATCCCCCCTTATGTATTATACATGGAGATCATATCCCCCCTTATGTATTATACATGGAGATCATATCCCCCTTATGTATTATACATGGAGATCATATCCCCCCCTTATGTATTATCCATGGTGATCATATCCCCCCATTGTGTATTATACATGGTGATCATATCCCCCATTATGTATTATACATGGTGATCATATCCCCCCTTATGTATTATACATGGTGATCATATCCCCCATTATGTATTATACATGGTGATCATATCCCCCATTATGTATTATACATGGAGATCATATCCCCCCTTATGTATTATACATGGTGATCATATCCCCCTTATGTATTATACATGGAGATCATATCCCCCTTATGTATTATACATGGAGATCATATCCCCCTTATGTATTATACATGGAGATCATATCCCCCCTTATGTATTATACATGGAGATCATATCCCCCCTTATGTATTATACATGGAGATCAATATCCCCCTTATGTATTATACATGGTGATCATATCCCCCCCTTATGTATTATACATGGTGATCATATCCCCCATTATGTATTATACATGGTGATCATATCCCCCTTATGTATTATATTCATGGTGATATATCCCCCCTTTGTATTATACATGGTGATCATAATTACCATTACGTTTATTACATGGTGATCATATCCCCCCCTTATGTATTATACATGGAGGGGATATCCCCCCTTAGACATAGGTGATACAACATGGAGATCATATCCCCCATTATGCTCTTATTAAACATGGAGATCATATCCCCCCTTATGTGCTTATACATGGAGATCATATCCCCTCTATGTATTATACATGGTGATCATATCCCCCCTTATGTTTATACATGGAGATCAAATCCCCCCTTACGTATTATACATGGAGATCATATTCCCCCTTACGTATTATACATGGAGTTCAATCCCCCCCTTATGTATTATTCATGATGATCATATCCCCCATTATGTATTATACATGGTGATCATATCCCCCATTATGTATTATACATGGAGATCATATCCCCCATTATGTATTATACATGGAGATCATATCCCCCCTTATGTATTATCCATGGTGATCATATCCCCCCTTATGTATTATCCATGGTGATCATATCCCCCCTTATGTATTATACATGGAGA